TGATGATGATGATGATGATGATGATGATGATGATGATGATGATGATGATGATGATGATGATGATGATGATAAGGTCCCGTATCAGTCTATGGATCAGATGAAACATAGATGTTGGAAAATGTTCCATTTCGCTACAACCACTGGTCAATGTGAGGTTCATGGACATACTCGGGGTAATTAAAATGAATGTTTCCTTTGACGGCAGACCCATGTTTAAAACCTTCCTGACAATCTGTAATAAGTCCAGAAGGACTAACTATGCCTTTAACAAAAGATAAATGCCAAACGAGTCTCTTGGGTGATCCAGAAAAGAACAATGGGGTTAAAATGAAAAACCTGTTTGACTTCGCAGTTTATCGAAAACCAGAACATTCAAACAGATACGCATACCCAAAGTACTGTTTCCCTAAATGAATGAATGCAAATACATGAGAATTAAGTCCCTTAAGTTTTGCACAACTGGTTATGTTAACAAAGCAGAAATTTATCACCAAAACCTTTCTTATGTGAGAATGGCTACAGTGAAAAAATCATAAAGACACTTACTGAAATCGGTTCTGATGGATAAAACTAAATAAACAAATAAAAATAACCCCATCATCGTCATTCGTCTTATTGCCAGACATACTAACAAAACCAAACAGTAAATGGGGAAAGCAGGTTTTCGAATCTCCCACAAAACGGGTGGTTCACCGGGACAGCATATTTACAAGATTTATATGGGGAACCTATAAGAGAGAATAAAAGGGCTCCGGAAAATGTAGCGGCGCCAAATATCAGGAAAACAGAGCATTCTGGCATCGTCTTACATGCTTTCTACTTTGGCCACTCATTTAATCCATGAATATCAGTTCTGCTAATAACGAAAGAACAAACATCAGGACAACTGATCAAGAAATTGTTACAAAATCCTAATTAATCATTACAAAATCTGATCATGTAACAAACACACGAACTCGTTTCGTTTAATCAACAGCTGGATTGTTATCAGCCAGTTTGTTCGAAAGAATTATGGGAACAAATGTTACTGTCATTCAAGACTTTAAATAGTTCATTTTAAAATACCGCGCTGCTTCAAGTGTACATTATTCTCCTCATTATGCTAGTGTGCGCTTTCGAAACGAATCAGCAAACAAAGGACTTAACATTGTGTGTTTAGCTGATGCCTTAAATCATGGATCGATAAATGAATACCATTAACTGTCATTGAAGCAAGCAACGAATCGATACCTCTCTCAATAACTATCTGAACAGATGGAAACAGATGTTGGGGCACAAAAATCAAAAAACCAGAGACGCCCTACCGTCTTGAAAATGCTCCAGCGTAGTCCGCAACGTTACAAGAGCCGTCTGGGAATTTTCCAGGTCTTCCTTCACAGCGGTCATTTGACTCTGGACAGCGTCTCGTTCACGAATGACCCTGGTCAATTCATCCTGCAGTTTTTCTATTTGGCCAAGCAGCTGTTTGCTGAAAACGAAAAGTATGAGGTACAAAAGTCACAAAAGAATAATTAA